TTGCCCCCCCCCCCCCCCCGCCCCCCCGACTGCCTTCCATCGACAGCTGCTCCAACCTTTCTTCGTCATTCTTCTTGCTCTTCCCGCCCTCGTCCTCTGCCCCTGCAGGTGGGCATCAAGGTGTTCCAGGGGCACGAGTACACGGTGTACATGTCATACGTGCAGCTCTACATGGAGCTCATCCAGGTGGAGGCCTGGCCCGCTGGGGGGGCCTGGGCGGGGTCACGGGTGGTATTTGTTTGTTGTTGTTGTTGTATGTGTGCGCGCGATCATGTTTGTGTGGTTTGGTGTGCTGTTGTGTGTTGTGTGCACGCAGTGGTGTCTGGGCTGCCCCTCATAGCATGGCCGCTCCCCTTGCTTCGTCACCCTCCCACTCCTGCGTGCTGCTCCTGCCCCCGCCCTCCAACCTCCGCGCAGGACCTGCTTCGCTCCGAGAGCGAGAACCTGCAGATCCGGGAGAATGAGGGCGGCGTGTTTGTGTCGGGTGTGCACCAGCAGGAGGTGCAGAACATCACGCAGTGCCTGCACCTGCTTCACCTGGGCGACCGCAACCGCCCCACCGCCTTCACCGCGCTCAACGCCCACTCCAGCCGCTCCCACGCTGTGATCATGCTGACCGTCATCAAGCGGCGGTCGGTGTCGGGGACGGGGGAGGCCAAGATCCAGCGCGTCAAGGTGGGCTGGCTGCCGTGAGGCTGGCTGGGGGTGGTGGGCTTTGTGGCCTTGGCAGCATGGTAGCTTGGCCGCCCAGCCGTGGCTCCGCTTCCTTCCTTGTGGCTGGGGGCAGAGGCAGGCTTGTCCCCACCCTACCCTTACCGTGGGGCAGGTGGGCAAGCTGTTCCTGGTTGACCTGGCGGGCAGCGAGCGGCTGAAGAAGAGCAAGTCCACGGGGCTGCGTGCCAGCGAAGGCAAGTCCATCAACCTCTCCCTCACCACGCTGGGCATGTGCATCAACGCGCGGGCCGACCCCGCAGCCACCCACGTCCCCTTCCGCGACTCCAAGCTCACCCGCCTGCTCCAGGTGCGCCAAACTGTGTGTTGGGCAGCAGAAGGGTCGGACGCAGTAGGCAGCCCAGCGCCAGTGCCATCACGGCAGCGGCAGGATGGCGGGAGCGGCTGTTGTAATGTGGCGCGTAAGGGCGTTCAGCGCCAGGAGTTGCCGGCCAGAACGGCGATGTAGGCCGCTCTGAGCTTCTGCCGCCGCTCCGTGTGTGGCCCCCTGTGTATCCCGCGCAGGATTTTCTGGGTGGCAACGCCAAGACCAGCCTGCTGGTGGTGGCCTGCGATGCGGCGGAGCATGTCGACGAGACGCTGCAGAGCCTGCAGTTTGGGCTGCGCGCCATGTGTGTGCGCACGCAGGTGAGATTTTAGGGCAGCATGTGGCTTGCGGTGGCTTGCAGTGGTGCCATGCGTGCTGTGGTGGGTTGCCCTCTCGTTTAAATAGCAGATGTACCATCCGCCGACCCATCTGCTCACCAGCCCTTGCCCCTCCCAGCCCTTCCATGCCCAGACAGTCACCTTTAAGCCCCTACCTTCACCTCCCTGCCCTGTCGCAGGCGGTGGTCAACGAGCGCGTCAACTACCACACCCTGCACGACGAGATGATTGCCGCGCTGGAGACTCAGGACCGCAAGTCCAGCCTGCTGGAGGCAAGCCTGCTGGAGAAGAATGCGCAGCTGGAGGCGGTGCAGGCGCAGCTGCAGGTGAGCAGCAA